CTCTCTCTCTCTCTCTCTCTCTCTCTCTCTCTCTCTCTCTCTCTCTCTCTCTCTCTCTCTCTCTCTCTCTCTCTCTCAACCTCTTCTACAATGAGGATCATATCCCTGGATACATCGGTCTCCTACCCATAATCTACTACTACTACTACTACGACTGTGGCTATCGCCGCCTGTCTTCCACAGCTCAGCACTGCCCAGCAGGGTTCCCTGGCGCTCAATCAACGCACGATAGCGCACAAGCAGCCAACAGCGCTTCCACCTACCTTCTCACGAGTGAACAATCTGTTTGAATGGCACCTGGCCAGTCCTTTTATGTTGACTGGACTGGGCCTTGACTTCGCTTGGCCTCTACTTGACTTGGTCTGGGCCTGACTTGACTGGTACCGATTGCCCGCGGCCTGTTTGCCTTTGGAATTTTGAGGCCCGGCACCTTCCAGACTTTCCTTGGAGCGCTGCTGCATTTGGACGGCGGAACTGGACTTTTGAGGCCAAGTACCAGTTGAATTTGGACTTGGCCTGTGGGGTCGGGCCTGTTCGGCCTCTTTTGACTTGGGTACCTTGACCCTGAAACTTGAAGTTGGGGTCTGCAAAGTGAATGTCCTTTAACTCTCCCCGGCCTGATTTCGAGGTCCTCAGAGAAAGTAACCAGCTTTACCGATCTACTATATTGATGCCTTTGCGTGCCCGCTCATAATAGGAAACTATATGTGGGGCCGTCTCTATTAACCCATCTCTGGCGAACCAGCGATCTTCTTCAGGCTCTTGGTACGCAAGTCTGACTTTGTACTGTCTCTGGGGCCTCCCTCTGTGTCCTGACTTGTAGACATCTTCTGCAACTATGCGGTCTACGTCATACTTGCCGTCCATGTCTGGACGTATCATAGATGTTCTTGATGGGAAATGATCGTTAGTCACACAGGTAAGCAACTTAGGAGGCATGAAAAACTGGATAGGTCTGTAGATGCGGTGGTATCTCAACGACATATAAAGGACCATCTACATCTGATTCACCAATAACATCGAGAATCTGCCACGGTCCCCTATATGCAAGTAATAATGTCTGCGATATAGTTTCCTCTGGGAGAAATTCTTTCGACTTGATACAAACTACATCACCTACAACAAACTCCGAAGGTCTGGGATGAGAAAGTCCATCTCTCATTTCTCAATCACAAGAGATGAAGATAAAGTCCAAAAAGCATCCTGAGGTTTGATGTTGGGCCGTCACTATATTCTCCCTAACTCGTTGTAATTCTTTCTCATATTGTACACCGAACTCTCTTGTTTCTGACAGCAATCTTTGAACTTGGTCAGGGTTCAGACAGTCTATAGCTCGCCGTGGACTCCATCCCCTATGCAGCTCATTAGGCGTGCTTGTTGTAACTAGGTGCACAAAGTTATTATAGGTGCTAGTTACTTTGGGGAGATGTTTGCCTTAGTCAATCTCATTACTAGGTCTTATATACATACGCAGCACTTGCTGAAGCAGTTTATTCATCTGCTCAGTCTGGCCGTTAGTTTCAGGATGCCTGCCTGACGACATGGTCAACTTAGACCCATAGACTTTCATTAGCTGTTGCCAGTGCTCGCCTGTAAACCGTGTGTCCCTGTCACTTACTATCGTTAAGCCTGAGGGATGTCCGTAGTCTTTAACCGAATGATTGAGGAATTCTCTGATTAGCAAGTATGTCTTTGCCTCTGCAGGGAGCGGAACAAAAACAGCAAATTTACTGAATTTGTCCACAATCACCATCACTCGACTTTTCCCATTCCTACTCCCGACTTTAGTATTCATAAAATCTATTGACATGGAGTCTCTGGGGCCTGATGGGCTAGGAAGTGGTTTCAACAGTCCAAGGGGAGGCTGTGTGGAACTCTTGTTCCGCTGACATACCTTGCAGCCTTGAATATTTGCTATGTAATCATGCTTCATTCCGGTCCACATATAGGACCGAAGGAGATTAGCATATGTCTTCCTCCAACCGAAATGACCCTCGGTATCGTGGTAATCCCTTAGGATTAGACTGCAAACTTTTCGTTATCCAGTATGCACAGCCTGTCGTGCACGTCAGCTTTCTCAAACAATAATCCCTAGGTCACTCTATACTCGTCTATGGTCTGGGGCTTCGTGTGGTGCTATCCGTACTTTATGAATCAACTTATTATATATTGGGTCATTAGCGTAGGTGGTCCTAATCTTCTCTTACAAATCGGTACCACCATCAAGGCAAGTTACTATGGCACCAAAGAATCTGCTAGCCTACTCAAAGCATCAGCGACAAGGTTATACTTTCCTTTTATTGGTTTTAATTCAAAATCAAATTGATCAATCTCACCAGCTCACCTAGTCAATTTCAATGACATACGGGCCTGGGTTTTCAACCAGCGAAGTGTCTCATGGTCAGTATAGACTTTAAAATGTCGTCCTAGGAGGTAGTGTCGCCAGTGATTCAGTGCTTCCCTAAGAGCAAACAGTGCACGCTCGTAAGTTGAGGCGGCGACTTTCTTATTGGGTGGTCTACAAGACATTAACTAGAACCCCTAACCATAATTTTGTTGTAGTGCTGCACCAATCCTGTATTGGCTTGCATCAGTTGTTACTATAAATGACAGTGATGGGTCAGCTATCTTGAAAACCGGATACTCTATCAAGCACTTCTTTAGTCTTTTGAAAGTTGAGTTACAGTCTTTGTCTCATTTCCAGACTGTCACCTTCCTCAACAACCTACGCAACGGTGCAACGATAGTCGTGAAGTTTCGTACGAACTTCAGATAATAGTTCGCCAGACCTAGGAACAAACGCAGTCCCGTCAGCGTATGTGGGGTTTGCCAATCTCTAAATGCTGCTATTTTTACATCTTCCGGTCTAATCCCATCTCCCGACGCTTGGCCCACTCACACTTCTTTGGATTTAACTTGATTCTAGCGTCTCGGAGATTTCCGAGAACTAGACAAAGGTGTTGCTGATGTTCCTCCAAAGTTTTACTGAAAATCAAAATATCGTCCAAATAGACAACTACAAATCTGTATAACCAATCTCTAAAAAGGTCATGCATATACCACTGAAAGGTAGCAGGGCCATTAGTCAGTCCGAACGACATGACCACAAACTCATAGTGGCCGTATTGTGTTCTAAAAGACGTTTTATGTTTATCTTCGTGCTGTACCTTAATCTGATAGTAGCCCGACTTCAAATCAATCTTAAAAAAATACTTACAACCCTGCACACTGTCTAGCACATCGTCTATCCTATACACCGGTTCAACATTCTTACTAGTCGTGATTGCGTCGAGTCCTTTATAGTCAATACACATGCGTAAATCGCCTTCTTTCTTCGGAACAAACAGAACCGGTGCGCCATACATCGACGAGTTTGGCCTAATCTACCCCTTCTCTATTAATTCATCGAGTTTTTTGCGCAGCTTATCGAGTTCTTTCAAAAATATATGATAGATGGGGCCCTTGGGGATCTTACTACCGGGTTCTATCTCAATCCAAGGCTTAATCTCCAGTTCAACTACGCCAGTTGGGCTCTCTCCCACATCAGCGAACTCCTCTAGCAATTTTTGCACCTTGGGTGGCGTTGCCTCTTCCCTTTTTTTGCTCTCACTAACTGGCCTGATGTAAGCTACGAACACTTGGTCCACTAGTGCATTCCTGACCACATGCTTTGCGAACGCAGGGGCACTCATACAGCAAAGGGACAAACTGTTCTCTACGCCAAACTCATGAAACAATCGCATTTTTTTTTTCCCACCCGTGGGGCTGGGTAACCAGCACTCGTGCTCACCCATCTTAATATCTGAGTAAGCAGCGGTCCCCCAGTCCACCCATCCACCCACCTGCCCACCCACCC